CTCCATTCTCTCCCACCTCGAACCACGAACACGCGCGTCGATGCCCGTCCATAGCTTGCGGGGATGGATGGATGCGCTGTGCAGTGCAGGAGGATATTCAACAGAGCCGCATCAAGGCTCACCGGATCACGCTTACCGCCATAACCCTCCGATCATATCAGCCCTCCAACAGAGAGCTCGCGGTGCCCACGCAGCAGTCCGCTTCCATTCTTCTTATCACCACCACGCTCACGACAATTCTAATCTTTGAATCTCCAGGTCTCTCAGACTTTTGACGAAATCAAGCCGGAGATTCGACGAATACCCGAATCGAATTCTGACAGAAGATTTTCGACTGGAAAATACCGTCACAAAATCGGCACCTATCCGTACAGGGCAGAACCGAAACCTGAAACGATGACACTAATCGCAAAAATACCACAAAAAGGAGTTCTTCGAGTGAAATAAACGGGTGATTCCCCACTTGAATTCCCGTCGGTCAATTACCCTACTGGCAACAAACCGTCACCGTCACAAACATGAGTCAAGCCCAACCCACTCCACACTCGGAGAATCTAGGTCGACGCAAAAAGGAAAGTCGCTCTACGCTCCCGACGCTTCCAGGCTCGACTCGAAGAACTAACGTTCTTCGAGCCGTCCCCGACTGTATACCCCTCGTGACCCGAACCCTAACTTCACGGCTAAATATAGTAAGTGTGTAAACTTCGTGAGCCGACTCGTAACTACATGACAACAACATCAACGATTGGAGACTGGATAATAACAAATTGAAGGATGTTTTTATCTGTATCTAGGTAATTGTGAATACATGATATATATGTTGTCTTGAAGAAACTAACCTTCTCTTGATGAAAAAGCAATTGATAATATAGCAGTTGGTCTAATCCTAAAGATGCTTAGGCTTTAAGTGATTTTTGTAGTATTCAAAACAAAACAAAATTTGAAACAGTTATATGTTTTTGGTTTCTTGTCACTTCACACTTGCACCATCGCGCTATCCACGATCTATATGGATACAAAATAGACATTGAATTGTTGTGACGGTGACGTGTATAGATCGTTGAACCGGTTGGAGATCAAACTCAACTACATGTTTGACTTGAAACGACATTCTTTGAATCATGATGGATTGCAAATGCTTTGCTATCACTTGGATCCTTATGTTCAAGAAAAAAAAGTATCAACAGCATGCTTTCCTATCATAAGTTACTACTTCTCGCCATCCACTCCTCATCTTCCCCTTGCATGCTTGGACTAAATTCCCTGTATACTTTCCGTCTTCATCTCACTTCTTACCCTTGTATGCTTGTGCAAAACTTCCTACAGGTGTCGATTATGGATCATATTAATTTTGGCATATTGGTCAAATTAATTCGGGCAATTTTGCCGTAAAATATAAAACGCCAGATTTTAGTATGAAGAAAAGATTTGCATGGAACTTCCAACTTGATTACAAGTTTTGCAAAAGCAGTGCAATTGATGATGTAACGGTGAAAATTTGGCATTCAACATTATCAAGTTCATATATTTTACAAACTTGCAATCTACTGTGATCAAACATGTTATCAAACTAATTTGAGACCGACATGATACTGTGATATGCTCGAGCTTTTTTGGAATCAAAGATTGAAGAAGATTATGTGTAATGATACAATCATAGTGGATTTGTGATCATACATTCTTGCGCAATGTAAATATGAAGATCATTTAATTCTGAATAGGTATTGCAGCTGGTGTAAAAGCTAGCAAAACTTTAGTAGATTGTCGATGTGATGAATCAACAACATCAAACATTCATCATTGATTGTAATTGTTTTCGATTCAACGACTCGCGGCCTCCCCTCAATTCCGCTCTGCTCTTGATTGTTGCTACTCCTGTCTCACATCCCTTCCTCAAAACATCGCGTTAGAATTCATCGTCAATCCATATTAGAATATGAGTGACATGTGCCGCTGGTGAAGATCTATCCGACTTAATATACGTGATGGATTCCAATAAACTCATTGTGTTTCAGAGTGATCTTAGCAAGTGATTTTCTTGCAATTCACGTGCATTGACTTCTGGCACGCTTTTAAAGCTTAAACGTCCTCATAATCTTATATAAAAACTGTCATGTGTTTTTTAAATAGGATATAGAACTTACGTGTTTGATTTATTTCTTCTGGAAATATTTACACAAAGTAGCATTTTAAATTAAAGATAATAACAAGTTGAAGTATTTTTCTTAGACTATGAGTTTTCAAATTGTAAATTTCAAATTGCATAGTAGATATCATAGTGATTTTCATCATTCAATAATGAATATATTGACTTCTATAGTTGGAAAATTTTATTTTTATAACCAAGATTTTTAATTATTTTTTCATGAAGGATGAATTATTGAGATTGCTATTTTACTCCTTTGTTTAAAACATCATCTATCAAATTGATTCATAGCATTACACCTTTAATTTTTTTTATTGATGCATGTTTTTTATTTTTTATTGTTTCATTTGCTTGATTTAAAATAGAATGTCTTGTGTAAGTCTATTTTTTGCTTTTAATTAATACACTAGTAATGATTATTTACATCTAATGGAATTTCATTCTTATGTCAATCATAATTTGATGAATTTGAATAATTATGGAATAAAAAAATTCATTAAATGAAAAAAATAGAAATAAAAAAAAAGTGATGAAATAGTATTCGAGTGAATCTTTCTGTAAATTATTTGGAAAATTATTTTTTATTCATTATATCAATACAATTTGATCATATCATCACATGAATTTTATTTATTATTTTTCTATTTGAAAAAATCACATCTCATGAGATTATGCAATATTGGTATTATTCCAAATAAAAGTGCTTCAAACAACAAATCAACAACACAAATGAATTATATGCACATACAAGAGAAAAATTATTCGATAAGATTTCATAGTAACACAAATAGTTTATTGGGATCCATCATGTATCGTTTTACCCGATGAAACTCCACTGAAGAACGACGTTGCAATAGAAGCAACGAGCATTAGGGAAGTATGAGGGAGCACTTGGATTGAAGAATCATTTCTTTCAAAGCAAAGAAAATCTGCAAGAATTGTTAAATTTCAAATCGTTCAATGCACATTGGTGAATGTTAGTGCATCAAGAAATTTTGAATCTTGATCATGTTCCCTCATCAAAACTTACATTGCTGCGTCCTAAATTCAAGCTAGTGAATACATTTGAGTATTGCATGACACTTTGACAAGGCAAAATACTCTACTCACAATACTATATTCAAAATCATGCACATTGCTTGATCAAAGTGCTAACAGTCAATGCAAAACTTCTCCTATTGTGGAAAATGTTTTTTGATCTGTGACCTATTCTCATCCTTTGCTCTACTGTTGTTAGAATCTGCTCTGCACCGTAGCTCGATAGTACATGGATGACAAGTGTTATCGATGAGAGCCTATCGTATAAAACGATAAGTGATGAGTTCCAATAAGTTATTTGTGTTACAATGAGTTTCCATCAAGAAAATTTCTTAACACATATTGTCAAATTGAGAATGCATTAAAAACTAAATTTATTAAAATAAAATAAAATTCTTACGTTGAATGATTTTGGAATGAAAGAAATTAAAAGAAATGTCAAAATAATTGATTAAAATATACTTTAATCATGAAGTTTCAATTTGACATTCATGTTTTTGGCATTTTACATTTGGTTCAAAATAATTTTATATGTATTATGTTGAATGATATTTTTTTGTTTGACATCAATATTTTTTTTCATAATGTGGAAGCATATAACTATATTGATAACAGAAGATCATCATCAAAGCTTGTTGAATTCATTCAAGTGCTTCAAACATTCATGAATTTATTTGCAAACTCAAATCAAAGTTATACTTTTACTTCCTTAAAAGCTTGGAAATAGATTGCTGGTATTATCATAACATGCACACACACACAAAATTAAATTAGAATGTAAATGCCTACAAAATCAAAATTTTTGCAATGCATTTAATAGGATAGTCGATATATTTTGCAAGACTCAAGTTTACAATTGTAGAAAAATTTGACAAATCATTTGACTTACACTTCAGTAATTCTTTTTATATCAACAATTAAAAATTCTTTGTTATAAAATATCATTATCTGAAAATATACAGCTAAATTTTCTTAGATAAAAACTAAGATAGAATTAATTGATAGTATGTTATTGATATAAATATATATAAATATTCATGTCATCAACGTGAAAATGTAAATCATATGTAACAATTAGATATATTTTCACATACAAATATCTGTTGATGTTTAATGATGGTTGATATTTTAACAAATTTGAAAATTGTCATGCAGATAGATATCAAATATCATCATCATATCATGAAGTGCTTCAACGATATGAATATCGTATCTGTACATGAAGATGTCAATGAGAATATTATCTTTTTATTGAAATATCAAAATTTTCATAATGTCATGTAAAATATTTTGTGACATAAATTCTCAATGAATTATTAATAATCATTAATTTTTCATATGTAGCATTTTTCATTTTAACAAATTTATAATCATCAGTTTAAAAAAAATCTCAAAGAACAAATGGTTTACATGGAGGAAAATTGAATAAAACTTTGAGTTTCGGTTTTTTATTTTTTATTAATCAGTTTTTAACTTAAGAATAAATCTATGAAACTTTTTCTAAACAAAACAAATGTGTTTGATATATATAATTTTATGTATTTATTTATAGATTATTTACAAATACTGTTGAGAGATTAGAGCTTAAAAACTTAGCAGTAGCTTTGATCTAATTTAATAGCTTCTAAATTTTCCCATCTTCTGCGTGTGGTCTAAATGATTCAAGGAAAAGAAAAACGAATGCGTTTTTTCACATCTCCTTTGATATCTATCAATATTTGATCTGGAAGATTTTGAAGCTTTTGTGATATATTTCATGTTTTAGAGCATATCTCAATTCAGAGGCGTCGCTCCAGTCGAGCTGGAACATCAGTCGGGGATGGGATCCATCAGATACACAGCAGAAAGGAGTGAAGTGCAACCACTTTGTGCTGTGTGAAAGCAGCTTCAACGAGCCGTCCTGCCTCTAAAACCGAATCAAAGAGCAAGTCCGTCGTCGACGTACTTGTACCTGGAGAAGGGACGGGACGGCAGGGAGAACAAGAAACAGAAAGCTAGCCCCGATTTTGAGTCACCGACGGGGAACTCGTACGTCCCTCACAGAATCCTCGACGAGTTCATGTCAAATGGCTCCCATATCCGAACTCGATACACTTCCTGACGGCCAACTCTTGTACATTGATGCTGAGGGTACTCTGCAGAAGGTTGGTGTACATGCATCCTGTAAAGACAAGAAAATTGTGATTTTCGGAGTTCCCGGAGCCTTCACGCCAACTTGCAGGTAAGTACGTCCAGGGAATTTCCTCACAATGCGTGCGGATACTCTCGATAGTACAATCCCTGCGAAATGTCCTGTCAGGATGCATGCTGGCTGAATGGCTTGTTTGACCGGTTTGGCTGTGCTATGCTGCAGCCTGAAGCATGTCCCAGGTTTTCTCGAAAGAGGGCCAGAGCTCAAACAGTTGGGGGTAGCACACATTTTTTGCATTGCAGGTACCAGGCATTTAAACAGGCCCTTCTTTTCAGCACCACTAGACGACGCTTGTGTGAGCGCGTATGGCATCCTCTCAAATCGATAACACCTAATCTTCATACATGTTCGGTCCTTGAATTCTCGTTTCCCATATGACATGCGTGAAAAACACACCGCCAACTTTCGTCCTGGAAGTCATTATCAGCGTGATTCCTTTTGGCCGGAAGTCTGGGTCTTAGTACTTCTAGTGTAATCTTCGGTTCGCTTCAAGGCAGTCTTCTACACTAGTCATCACCAGTTCGAATCTGAATAAGCTCCTGAACAAGCTACACGTTGGTTTGCAGTGAATGATCCGTTTGTGGTAAAAGAGTGGGCCAAGACGTACGAAGCCAACAGAGGAACCATTCAATTTCTCGCAGACGGATCTGCTATCTACACAAAGGCTCTGGGCTTGGAGTTCGATTTAACAGACAAGGGTTTAGGAATGAGATCACGCCGGTACGCACTCTTCGTAGACAACCTTGTTGTCAAGAAAGCTAACATAGAAGAGGGGGGAAAGTTTGAGGTCTCAACGGCAGATGAGATTCTCAAGGCAGTAATGTCATGTTTCTAGGAGCTTTATTAAATGTGTGGAGTAGGTTAAGTAAGCTGATAAAAAAGTCACATCAAGAGCAGTTGATCTCGAGCGAGTTCAATTTGGCTCGATCCATAACATCCACAGAACATCAGATGATGACGTGCTCATGATCTGAAGGTTCAACGAGTTTGGTAGGAATCAATTGCTATCTGTAACTGGGTCTGCGAGATAAAGCCTTCCTGCGGTCTTCTGTGAGTGGACTAAAAGCAGGGCCTCGACTGGACTGGCCATAATTGTATAATATCTACAGATGCCTTATATGCCGACCCACTTTCAACCATTCAGCACTTGGAATTGGCGTCGTCTGTCTAGAGTATTGGTTCCTTGAGGCCGTTCACGATACCCTCACTGCTGGCACTTCTGTACAAGGAGCGAAACACACAACTTCAAACTCTTCTGAGGCAAAAGTTCTTGCAGCCAATGTGACTCTTCCGATCCAGTCTTAACATCTTGACCTGGATTTACTACAATGAGCTAACTATATCACCGCTGTGATCCTCCGACTTCGCGCAAATTGGAACTTAAAAAATATTCTGCAGCCCGTATTCTACTTCACTAACTTTTTACTAGAATCTAGAATTATGTTAGATGGTGTTGAAGACCATCAATTTACGCACTGGACTTTAGGGTTTGGCTTCTCCGACAAGCCCTTGTCTTTTCTTGATTGCTGTCCAAAACAATTGAACTCTGTACAAGGAGCTGTGTCAGCCATGGTCATACGTTTCTATCGACCCCTTCGGAAACCAGGTGCCACTTGCTGAAACTTTCTTCATTCCGACATCAGTTGTTCTAATCATCATCTGAATCTGCAAACGAAAGACAACGTCAGTAAGCACACTATCTTTCTCAGATCATGGCCATCTCTTTCGACCTGGAATCACAATCAACTTGTTTTAAGATTTCAGAAGTCCTTCACGTTCACTCTGAATACAGAAAAGATAAAATAGCAACTCGTATAGTTCAACTAAGAAGATCTTCAATTACTGTACCTGAGCGAACGTCGTCCGGTATTCTTCCTTGCAGTTGCAACTGCCTGGATATCATTCGACAAATAAGCCACCACCAATAAATGTGAATGATGAGTAGTGTCAAAAGCAGAGTATTGAATGCATAGTACTGGATCGTATGTAAGGGATTGGATTTGTCCAAATGCTCGATAATATCAAGGCTGCACAGAAATCGCCACAGAAGTCTGTCAGCATGAAGTGCAAGGATAACACCCAAGTTCTTATATAGAATACTCATATCCGCTCTGTAACTCATTACGAGCAGTTCAGAAAGAACGCTGAAACAGCCAGCAGGCCCTCTTCACAACATTGTCGATAAAACAAAAAAAACAGGTATGAAAAGAACTACCTTCAATCAGGCTACTTCTAGGCCAGATCAGCTATATCAAGCTTGCAGAACTATGTCCGACTTACCGCTGCCTTCAACAACATGTCATCTGATCATAAGTCAACTTTCAGAGAGAGGTGTGTCGAAAACCTGGTGCTTCTGATTATCCAGAAGGGGAAGTACACGAGACGAAGAAGACCCCATGAAAGTGCGAATAGTCCAAAAAGTACAGAGGCGCCAAGCTCACTCCCGCTGTACTTGCAAAGTTTGGCGGACTCCAAAAAAATATCACTCACATCGTGCAGCACGAGCACTATTGAACCAACTCGGAAGGATCTGAGATTATGAACATGCAACAAGTTGGGAAAATAAGCAAGTCATCGAGGAGAAATCAGTTTATGGCTCCGAAACTGTCAGCCGGAGCGTTCAACCCTTTCCTGTTTCACATGTCCGATAACTACGACATACGTGTAGTTATCGAACGTTCACTATTATTTCACTATACAACTAAGTACTCGACAGCATAAGTGCACTATCCTCGAATTAGTCATATACATATTCATCCAAAGCTTTGTCAGGCTTGTTGAATTGATAAATAGGCTCCCCAAGGTGACAAAAATGAAATACGATAGAGGAAAAACGTCAGAAATCTTCTGTCTCATAGTGAAGCGAAATCCCTTATTCAAATTACACCGTACATCTCTCACAAGTTCAAAGCCTGACTGAAATGAGAGAAATACATACCCAGTGATGTATGAAAACCCTATTAGAGAGATAGTAATAATGTGATGACTCATCATAACCGCAAAATCTTTTCTTCGAGTTTCCCAAAACAGGAGGGCGGCGACACTGAACACGTAGAAGCCGCACTGAAGTGTATAGAGAACTTTCAGTTGAAACCTAGCCGTCTCAATCAAACACCAACCATCTGTCAGACCGCAGGCGTGACCAGAATATGAAAGGGATCAGGGTCGATTTTGCAAAACTTGTCATCTGTATTCAACAACGAAAAGAAACGATCTTGGAAAGACCTCAAAACACTTCCAATAGAGGACCCATGCACCGGTACCAAGGGGAAGTAGTAGATTTAAGCGCTTATCGCTACTGTGAAGAAAGCACTTAATTCTACCTGCATTTTGTCATCACTCAATCTCTGGTTGAAAGCCGCTCTAGCCGCAATAAATGACAGCGTGATTTGACAACTTCTCTATGGCTAAGAGACAATCAGGGAGTCGAAAAGAAGCAACGCGGTCACGATTTAACGTTCGTTTGAAGACCTTAGAAACCTGCGTCCACACTAGCTTCAGATTAAGGGATTTAATGAAGCGGGTTCATTTCTTTACTTGGCAGTTTATTTTCAGTGGCTCATGGCAAACTGATGCTTGAAGCAAGAAGGGACGATCAGTCTTCTCGGATCCTTACAAATTTTGGACACGCTGGACAAGCGGAGGAAACGCCGTCCTTGCACAAGTGACCTCAACACAGGGGTCATCATACTCAGTAGTCGAGCCCACGGTTCTATCATATTCAGTATAGCAATCAGAGTGATTTATTATCAGAGCTCCAGTACTTCCTTTTCTTCCACCTGACACATCAAAGCCTGAGCTCATGTGCCCTGTAATAGTTATAAACTGATGTACTATTTCGGTGCATGATTTACATGCTTCTTTTCACCTCGCAAATACGAGACGAGCAAATATACTGGAAAGTGGACAAACAAAGTAGTCCTTCAGGTCGACAGCTGGACGGTAAAAGATTCACTCGTTCGATCATTAGAAGACCCCTAGTCCAAAGAAGCAATCAATGGCATCACAGAAACTTACTTCAAAGATTGGTTGGGCCATCCATGCCAGAAGGCATTGGTATTCCCAAACCATGGCTCTTTATAGGTGACGAGCAGCGCAAGGACAACAGTCGCCGTGTAATAAGTTAACTTCCAAGCAGATTCCATAAACTTTGGAATTTTCTTTCGGCGTGAATCTCTTACTATTTTTTTCAGATTATTCTCACCATCTGGAAATATAGCCCTCTCTGCAAGCCTCTGAAAAACGTTCATAAAGGCAAAGAGTTAGCGCAACTTTCCTGTAAACATTAAGCCAGTATCGTTAATTTTAAAACAAGTAGCAAGCGATTTTGAAGACAAATGACATTCCTTGATCCGTCCCACACCACGGTTTTGTTTTGTATGGAGCTGAAGTTTCCTTTTTCATTAAACATACATAAGTACAGCTTAACTTTGTCCAGGAGGTCTGATTCATGTACAAGGCTAAATTCGGGAGCAATTTGCAAATTACAAACTTCTCGATCACAACCAGCACCCGGTCCTTATCATTTGAACTACCACCGTAGACTGTAGAGCAGATATACCCGGACTTGAGCGAGAATGCAGAATTTTAAAGTACTGAAATCAAGCAGGTAAGACAGAGAAGGACAAATTTGCAAGAAAACAGGTGCACATGGTAGCTGCAGTCACCCACAGATCGCTCAAGAGTAGCAGAAGAATGCTGTACAAATGTATTGAGTATTCATGGATAGACAAAAACTATTATCTGAAAAACTCTGCAAGTTGGCATTGCGTGACATCGAAGGCTGCTGTATTGACGGAAAGAATGCACGTATCAGGATACTAATGAGGCGGTTTCAGTATCATCGGTGGACCTTTAAAAGGTCAAATCTTCACGTGAAAGATAGCTTGGATCTCAATCCGCAACAACTTACTCCACGCTTATTCCCAGTACAAAATTTGAAGAGCTATAGGAGGCGGACGAGAGAGAATGTACAGCTGTGGCAAAAGAGCAGTTTGACACTGCTGCGGGTCAAGAGATCTCGCCACGCTCTGATCCCGCTTATTTTGCACCTAAGATCCAAGGTACTGGAGCTTTTGTAGAGTCCCAGAAGAATATGAAAATGCACGGAGTGATGCGTAAATCATATGATTGTGAGCAGCAAGACGATACAAAATTTACAGATAAGAATAAGGCAGAGATGTGCGTCGGGTGGAAGAAGATGATCGCAAGACACGACGCTTAGAGGAACCGAGTGCAATTCGAAACCGGAAGTACCTGAAAGACGCAAGAGTCGAGAAGAAAGCGGGCCAGAGGACACGCGAGGGCAGCGAAGCAAACCAGAGAATAGTCCTGCCATTGAGGATGGCTCTCAGCCTCCCACATTGCCTCCATATTCCTCGATCCCCCAGCCCACATTGGGTGCACCTACACAGGTCGCCTATGGGTCGGCCGACACCACCCGTCCATAAGACGGCAAGTCGATCACTGCACTGCACTTCTCTTCTCGACTCTCTCAGAACACGAGAAACCACCTCATGCCCCGTCTGCGACGAGAGTCCTGCCTCGCTGATCCGTCAAGGCCACCCCACCGCAGCCGATGCAGCCGCCCGCCCGCCCATAATCATCAGGATCGCTGTCTCAGCGCCACCATCCTAGTCGTTCTCCTGATACCCGACTGACGTCGCTGCCTCTGCATCCCTGGGGGCCGTCTGGCTGCGGCAGTCAGTCGCTCGCTCGCTCGCTCGGCAGCCAGAGCTCGAACTCGCTCTCGGCTCTCGAACTCTCGAACTATTCGTGGGCCAGCTGTAACTCGTAACTTAACCTCGCCGCAGCCGCTGGGCCTCGACGATCGCTCTCCTTCTCCTTTCCTCTCCTTTCCTTCTCTTCGGGGGGCGGTCCGCTGGCTCTTGGGACCGCGTTCTCCAATGGGACAAAAGTGCGCACAATGCGAATGAGCAGCGATCTAAAACGGGATAAAAGTCCCCACGAGCGTGGCAAAAGTACCAAAAGAGCACAAGGGAATGTACAAAAGGTAGTTTGTGTGCCAATGCTCGTTCTGCGTAACGGTCTAGCGCCTTGCTAGGGGGACTGGGTTGCAATGGGGCGAAGGGGCTAAGGGAGGGAGCAATGCCCAGCACCCAGAAGATGTAGTGGACATGGACATGGACATGGGTCCTCTCGTCTGTGCTTCGCTTCGACTCCAAGATCTCGACTTGGAGATCTGGTCAGACGGCCATTTTCACAAATGTTTGTTAAAAGTACTCTATCTTTCATTTAACCCTGCACGACGAAAAATACGAATTGTAGTGTGTGTGTGAGTGTGTTCACGTCCTTTATTTTTTCACTTTCTGGTACGAGCATCCGTGTCCATGGATCTCTTCCCAAAGGTCGTCTCCAACAAGTCCAGGCCAAGAACGTGAGCGTGAAGCATCCGCGCTGCCTTTTTTCGAATGATTCCAACGATGTGCTGCAATGCGCCGTGCTCCCCTAAGTAGGCATCACCCCACATTTACCCGACTCGAAGACCCGGTGAGTTTCTCCCTCCACGGTAAAGAGTCCAGATGACATGCTTGCATATTATATTCGTGTGATTCATTTCGTTCCAGGAGACGAAACTGGCTGCTTCTCACTTCTTCCCACTAAATCAGAGGGTTACATCTTTTATGTGGCAGTTACCCCTTCCCATGTAGCGAGTGCAGGGTGCTTCTGCTCTCGATTAAAGCGTAAAGTATCCATCTGAGATGTGTTCAGATGAGATTTATGACTGGGCCGCACTCGCAATCGTGTTCCGTTCATTCATTTTTGTCCTCGGGGTGACTTCCATTCGTGAAGTTTTCATTTCCTTTAGACGAGCTACAGCTTAAAGTTTGGTGCAGATAATTATATCTGGACCAATAAACTGGAGGAAGGAATTGACAAACTAACTGCTGTAGGTCAAGAGAAGACTTAAGAAACTCACGGAGCATGCACTCAGTCACTGGGCTCTCACATGTTTGGATTCTCTATGTCGGCTACAGATTCTGTGGGTCACCTCTCTGTAACATGACAATATTCAGAAATAAAGAAATAGTAATCTTGCAAAAACTAAAAAGTATTCAATGTAAGTAGAAAGAGGAGGCTACGTACTGAAGCGAAAGGATGCCAAGAAACAAAAAGGCCTTACATGGATCAATACAAACGAGTAACTGGGGTAGATTCGAATATCATGAAAAAGGTATATGTAATATTCCAGGTAAGATGTATGAGAGAGGATGGATTACGTATTTTCCAGTTATGCTATAAACTTTGTAATTTCAGTATCAATAGCAAGTTTTCTCTTTAAGCATTCAAAAATATTCACACAAATCAAGGAAAATCATTAAAATTAAATAAATTCAACTAAAAAAAAACCATGAAGGATAATTTAAGGCTAAATTTGATAAGTTTTCATAGAAAACTACGGTACAAAATTTTATGACCCCATGGACATAAACTACTTTTCCCCATATATAGAGACATCTTTATTAATTTCTGTTTGAAAAAAAAAAAAAACAACACTCAAGGATGTAAAACACAGAATGAAAGCATACAAACATGTCAATTACTATGTCTCATAGAATTATGAGGTTTTTTATAATATAAAGAGTGAATCTGCTTAATGTTATTTTATCAAATATATTCAAATGATACATCAATTTCATTCACTTTGGAAGGTGTTTTGCAATTTGTTGATATAATCAAATATATATATCATCGAAATTTTATTAACATATTTGTTTCAATCTGTTAGGATTTTTGAAACTTTGTTCAATAACATGATTACTCATCTTTCTATAAAGCATTTCCATTCAAGCTTCAACCAACCAAAAGTCAAAATATGCAAAGAAATTAAGTTTTGTTACTCTAGCTTTAGATCTACATGAAATTTTGCCTTAAATTTTGAGATAATCGTGAGCAATGATGTAGAAATTGCCATCCTTAATTTAATGAAATGCCATTCTTCTTCTTTGATTGTATTTCAAACATTCTTCTGTCACCATATAAAGTATCATGAAAAAGTTCTCAAACTTATCTGGTATCATCTTGTAGACAGGTTTAAATTGCATAGCGTGTAGTACTTAAGTGTTAAGAATCACAATCATATCATATGATAATTCTTTTAAATTATTATTTTCAAAACAATTAGATTGATAATATTTTTTTATATCGTATATGATTCAGGATATAATCCTCATTAACACTATATGATTCTTGCTACTACTTTTTTCATTGATTTGATTGTAATATGTGATAATTTTACTCTTTATACCAATTTACAATCATTCAATCATTTCTAACATATGCTTTATTTCAGATTGAATTATAATTAAATACTTGTTCCAAAAAATAAAAAATATTACAAAATAGCAGAATTTTGTAATAATATAAACAAGGTATGTAATGTCAAATGAAAACATGACGGATTTAGATATAAGAACTACCTTAGTGAAAATTTCACTTTTTTAAAAAAAATGTTCAGCACATTGATATTTTTTACATTTTTGATATTGTATGAAATTCTCATAACAGAATTAAATAGATGAAAGAATTATTATATAAATTTAAATATTTTTATATAAGTTTTCATATATCTTTAAAATTTTAAATATTTAGTTATGATTAAGTAAGTTTAAATGAAAATCATGAACTAAAATTAGATTTTGAATGAAACCAAAAAATTTACAAGAATGTTTTTTATATATATTTGAATTATAAGACATTATAAGACATAACTATTATTTCCATTAAAAAGCTAAAAGGTGAAAGAAAGTTGAATCTTGTGAGGATATTTTTTACTTTAAAAGTTGGCATAAAATTTAATAATTTTTTTCCTTGGAAATATATATATTCAATTGTGATCACAATCTTAAGTTTCATATATATAATGATTTACATAAATTAAAGTCACAAATTTGATATAATCATATAAATATAACACATAAATTAATTTTACACAAATGAATTCATGCGATGATATTTTTAATTTAAATTGATATCTCCAAATATTTATAAAACTTAATTTTAAAATCAAAAAATTTCTTCAAAAAATGATTTTGAAATAAATTTGCATAAAGCTTAAACCATAATGAAATTTTTTTGGAAAAAAATATTGAATGTTAAATTCTTTAGTTTGAAATGATATAAAATTATATCTTGGATTTTAAAAAATTTATAAATTCATTTAAAGCATTGTGTACATGTAGACATTAGAATAAAAGAATGAAACACAAGAATATTTCCATACCAAAAAATTATGTGGCTTATTAATAAGATCTACATGTATAAAAACAACGGAAGCGATTGGTTATCACTGAGTTTAGGTTGATTATACCTCACCTTAATTAACTTCACAGAAGAGAGGTATGTGATTGGTTAGAGGGAAACAAAAAAGCTTTCGATACCTTGCAAGGACAGGGATGGGACGGGATATATAATCTTCGCGGGGACAAGGAAAGGAGGAGATCAGAATTAGTGCACAACATGAAAAGCATATGGAAATGAGATTGGACGGAGTATACAATTTTTCCGGGTACAGTGGAAAGAAGAAGAATCAAAATTAGTGCACAACATGGAGCAAGATTGGATGGAAATATAGTTTTTGCGGGTTAGTGAAAAAAGAGTAAATTAGAAGTGGTGCAGAGCATGGAAGCATATGGCAGCGAGAAGATGGCACTTTGATTCCTGACATGGAGGAATTCATAAGATTGAGTGTGGGATAGGGTTAGAATTGACTAGATTGCAATCAAAGCGCAGTGTCGTATTGAATGTAGGACCAATCAAATTTAGCTTGAGTGTGAAATCTACTTTTGCGCTTAAATGAAGTGAAGGGCTGGGGAGTGTTATAATGTGCAATGAAAGTTTGATAGGCAGCTCCAGCTCACATTTATGATACAACCCCTGATGTAGATTGATGCAAATTCATGGTTCTAGTTCGCTTCACCGCCAAAGTTCTCCTACACAACATTGGACGTTGCGCTATTAACTATGCAAGCTTACGCGTTGGATAAGGACTACGCCATAGTGATTTAAGCACATACGCATGGTTGGTAGCAAGAAAGATGGAGCTTTCAAGGCACTCTATCTTGTGTGTTTCCACAGGATCAAATCAATTGTCCATGAAGATACTCTCTAGAGCAACACACCCAACTGTATCACTAGATGTCAATTCAAAACAAAGATCAACGGCATGAATAGTCAACAAAGAAGAAGCACAAGCCCAACTTGTATGAGCGATACAAGTCCAATTTGTCCAACATAATCATGACGTCATTCTACATCTCATCGTCCATCCGCAAGGACGCGCCCTAGGAGATCAACAAGAAACAAAGCTTACTTTCAATTTTGCTAGTGTTACGACTAGTTGAATTGTTACGACGTTACGGCAGAATGAAATCATACTTACAACAACAACAACAAAATCTGAAACTTACGTTAAAAGAAGCGCTTTTGAATAATTGCATACAAGTCAAATTGCTACTGATGCAACCAATATTTCATCCAAATGGACGATGAGAAGAAATTAACCCACATTTTGCCTTTGACAAAGATGATTTTTAATAAGTATATTGCCCATCATGTCTTTTCACTTGATGCAAACTACAAAACAAACAAGTATGACCTACCCTTACTGCACGTTGTTTCTATGACCGCTATCACCAACATCTTTACCTTTGCCAATTGCTTTTTGCGGCAGAAGAAGGAACACTCATGTGGATGCTCAGCAAAATTAAAAAGGTTTTCAATGATTTTGGTGTTTTCTAATAACAACTTTTGTCACGGATCCAGAACTTGCATTAATAACCGAGTTGGACGTTGTTTCCAAACGTGGACATGTTGTTATGTTGCCAGCACATCATCAAAAACATATTTGCAAGATAGAAAAGTAACTTTCCAACTGAAGAAGATTGGCAATAGCTTTTGGATGCTTGAAA